ATGGATGGATGGATGGATGGATGGATGGATGGTGATAAGAGTTGTCAGAGCCCCCAATAAAAATGAATTTTTAAATAATAAGTTTAAAAAAATTGTTTAAGGATCCCTAATGATATGGTAGACATAGTGAACATGCTGGATAATGCGAACTACCAAGTCAGCAGTTCGACGTGACCAGCAGCTCCATGGGAGAAAGATGAGGCTTTTTGCTCGTGTCAAAGTTCACCACCCTGGACAGCACGGGGACAGTTCTATTCTGTTCCACAGGGTCGTCATGGTAACCGACTGGCAGGTGGTGAGTTTGGTAGAGTTTCCTGCTAGGACTGCGTGGCTGGAGCGCAGAAGAAGGAAGGATGGGAGGGGCCGTGAGTGAGGAGGGAGGGGCCATGGTGTTCCATTGCCTTAGCTACCATCATAGGGATTTCATTCACGGGTTTCCGGTCTACTGGTTCCTATTGGTTTGTCTGTTTGGGCTTGCTCGCTTGTTGCTTCCACTCAGCCCTCATTTCCAGCCATAACCTTGCGTGCTGGTGTCGCTTTGCCCTGCAACCACGTGTCCCACATGGGTGGATACACTGCAGTTTGTTTAGACCATTGCTCTAGTGTATGGCATTTGAGTTATTTCCAAGTTTTGCTCTTACGAAGAACGCTGCTGTGAACAGTTATGTGCAATTACTCCCCCCACCCTTTGGGCGTATTTCCTTGGGGATAATTATAGGATCAAAGATATTAACAGCTTTTCAAGTCCTTATTCACAGAGCCACTCTGAGTTCCCGAAGCATTGAACCCACTTATAAACCTGCCAAGTGCACGTACTCTCACGGAGTCCCCACCCCGGCCATTCCGTTTTGCCAACTTAATTCCCTTCCCCAGTTAAGTAGGTTCGTAATGATACCTTAAAGCTTGTTTTCATTTGCATTTTTAATTTCTAGCCACAACACGCTTGTCCTTGTAATGACGAACTGTTTCTGTCCCCACGGGTGGATGTGTCTATTTATCTCCTTCGAGCGAGTGTCACGAATTGCAGGGTTCCATCCATGCTCCGTGCAGATCATCAGTTATCTGGCCCACCTGGCTTCCCCATGAGCTTGCATCTGTTTCTTGTTCATCTCTTCCGATGGGCACACTTGGCTCCACCCACAAGGATGGAACGCCAGTCGTTGAAAAATGTGGGGCCCCCAGACCAGGATCTCCTCTATGGAGAAAATAAGGGGGTAGCCTGGAGGGTGGCTGCCGTGAAGGCGGCCCCCAACTCGTGGTGACACAGCAGCATGAAAGGCTGCCTGGTCCTGGGCCATCCCCATTGGGCATCGGCCTGTGATGACAGATAGGGTTTTCATGGACTGACTTTCTGAAGTAGGTTGCCAGCTCTTTCTTACTATCTTCCTATCTTCGTCTTCATCAGGAAGCCCTGCCGCAACCTGCCCTGGAGGTGAGCATGCAAATGTGCCTGGTGCACAAACTTACACAACTCACTGTCCTCGACTCAATTAGAAGGCAGGGTAGAACTGCTCCTGTGGCTTTTAGAGACTGTCACTCGTTACCGGAGTAGAAAGCCTCATCTTTCTCCCTCAAAGTGGCTGGTGGTTTTGAACTGCTAGCCTTGACGTTAGCAGCCCAGCGAGTAACCACCGTGCCGTGTTTCCAAACGCATCTCCAGGGGAAAGCTTGGCAGGAACATAGCTCAGCCCTCACCCTAGCACCATCGACTGGCAACGCTGACTGCCCCTGATCCCTGAGCATGCCGGCCCAGACCGACATGTGCTGAGCAACACCCAGGCCAGCCGGAAGACTTGCTCAGGAAACAAAAAGAAGAGAAGTGAGCTCGTTGATTACGTGCTAAAATGACACAGCTCTGGATCGAATGGGGCTTAATAAAATATAGTGTTAACTTCAAAGAAGAAGTAGAAGAAAATCGGATTGCCTGGGAGTGCAATCCCAGACAACAAAGAAGTTGACAGCAGGCCGGATCGGCGAAAGGTACATTCATCGCTCAGGGCTTGGCACCGAGGGCGTGTTGAGTGGGTATCCATCCTCCTCTCCCCTCCTGAGGAGTGGGGTACAGGCTGGGTGACCAGGAAAGGCATCCTTGATCTGGGCCTCGATTTCCGTTCGTGGGGCTACAGTTGGAGATGATGACCTATGTTTATAGTTGGAGATTTTGACCATATATTTATGCCATATCAGCCGATAGGCCGAGGTGTATTAATTCATCTATTTATCCCTCTGAGGTGGGAAGGGTGGCCATCCCCAGTTCATAGATGAAGACATTGGAGCCTGAGAAGCTATGTGATTACTTACCCACTGGTTGGTGGTGAAGCTCCACTAGAGAGTGAAGGGGGGGGAACACCTACCCACAGTGACCAAGTGCCCCTTTCTCCCTGGATGCATAGGTCACCCTGTCTAGTCTTTTGAGACGGTCAAGCGTCTCGGTCACTGACATGTCTTCTTGGACTGCAAACAGAAGCCACCTCCAGGACTCCCAGGCCCTGCGGGACCGAGCAGGGGGTGGCTGTGGAAGGAGGGCCTGTGTCCTCCCTGTGAGGGACCACGGAGACTGCTGGGAGTACCTGCCTGCCTTCATGGCCACAGGGCCCCTCATCCCAGGTGGAGTGAGAGGCATGGTGGCCGAAGGCCAGTGCTCCGGGTCACAGGTCAACATATCTTTTCCAGTTCCTGGGCTTCTCCACTCCGTTTCCACAGCTGTGTAAGGGAGATCGGAGCCCTGGGTGTGCAGTGGTCAAGTGTCCACTCATAACTGGAAGGTCAGAAGTTCCAACGCACCGGTCATCCTGCAAAGAGAGATGTTCCCATCTGCTTTTTAAAAATGATAGGCTTGGACTGGGGCCATTCTGCAATGTCCTAGGGCCACTATGAGTCAGAATCAACTCCATGGACATGGAGGTCTTGTTTGCTTGTTTGTGGATTTTTTTTTAAATGGCAATGGTCTCCGCTCCACAGCACGTGATGAGGATCAAGGAGGTTATCATGCAAAATGCCTCCCACGGAGCCCAGTGCCTGCTACAGATGCAATAACTATCAGCTGCCACTTCCATCTAAGTGAAGCTGAAATCCCGATTTTTCCATGGAAGATCTCCCAGTTTTTAAATGGGGGCTAATAGCCCCAGGTTTGACAAAAATCAGTATGACCCAATATGGTCCCGAGGGGCCAATCTCGGGTTAGGATTTTGCTAAGAGGACATGGCAGCTTGCCAGGTCACAGGCTCCCTCGAAAAACCACATTTGTGACCCATCTGCGATGCGGAATGGGTTCCCTGGGCACGCTGGAGGGATCAAGGGGAAGAAGAAAGGGAGGACGGACGGACGGACAGATGGAAGGAAGGCAAAATGAACAGACGAATGCCTGAATAACAAATGACTAAACAGTGAACGGTTGGAAGGACGGAAGGACTACATGAATGAGCAAGAGAAGGATGAGTGAATGCATGGGTGAGCAAGGGATCGGATGGAACGATGAATGGACAAGCGAAGGAACAAATGAGTGAGCAGACAAATAAATGCACTTGGAGGTTTTCAAAAAGAAGGTCAATGCAGCTTGTCCCAAAAACTAGAGAGTCCCTGGTTGGTACAGATGGGAACACCCTTGTTGCTACACAAAAGGTTGTTTAGCTGCTAAACATCTCTGGGTGTTCCAGAGGTGCCTTGGAATAAACGCCTGACAGTCGACTGCTGGAAAATCAGCCGTGGGGACCCTGTGGAGCAGAACTCAACTCCGACTCGCACCCAGGGTCACCAGGAGCCAAGGGGAAAGAGGTTGGGCTGGTCCAAAGTGAGCTCCCACCCTTCCCCTAAGCCGGCCCTTCCCAAGTCTTCCCCATCCCAGTGGGTGACAACTCCACCCTTCCCTTCCGGTGCTCAGCCCAACCACCTGGGGTCCTTCCTCTTTCTCACGCGCACAAAAAAATGTTGCCTCTGCCTTGATTCAAGATCCACCCACGTGGCCCCCTCTTCTTCCTCACTGTCTGATGACCACCCAGCCCCGGCATCACTGGCCATTCCCTCCTCACTCCGCTCCTTCGCAGAGACCCTCACACCTGAGTCAGGACCCCGTCCACCTCCACACAGAACTCTCCGTGGCTCCCACCTCACGTGGGGTATTCACCGTGGCCCGCAAGGCCCTGTATGATCCGCCCATGGCCTCCCCATCCTCCCCTCCTCCCACTTCCCTCTTGCTCGCTCCCCTCCAGCCACACTGATCTCCACATGCCTTATGTTATCCTCCTGGTCAACACCCTCACCTTGACCACGTAGCGCAATCCTGCAGCCCGTTCCTGGGCCCGTCCTGGGGCCCGCAGCCCCTTCTCTGCTCTACTTTTTCCTTTATCCCCTGGCGCTTTCCACCTCCCAGCACGCTAGTCATGGGCATATCATTGTGTTCCCCATCTCCCCGACTACAGTGTCAGTCCTGGAAGGCCAGGGCTCTATGGGCTACCCGGTAGCCTGAGTGCCTGGGAGAACCTGGCACACAGTAGGTGCTCACTAAGTGCTTAGGCACGAGACATATGGAGACCAAGCCTGAGGCAAGAACACAGGGGAATTGGCTCCGTCCTGGGCCTTTATTTCTAAGTAGGGTTCTGCCCTTTTAGCTGCCTTCCACCCTGAGTATCTCCTGGAGGCTTCCCAACACGCTCGGTGTCTGGTGACTATGGGATGGGGCACAGCACTCGGAGACAGGTGTGGTTGAAGGGGAGTGAGCAATAGAGGATGTGTGTGGCTATATCTTGGAGGAGACTGCTGTCTCGTCCTGCCCTGTGGAGTCACACGTGACCCAGAGGGGAAGAAGACCTGGCAAGCAACAAGAGACGGCCACTGCCCCATCGGCATCCCGCACTCTCATGGGTTACTTCCAATGCTGTTGCTTTCAGAATCATCGCCTAAGCACTGCCTCTGGAGAGCCAAGCCTTTCGGTCTAGATGGCTCCCTCGGGCCCGAGGGCTCATGGGCTCCCTGGTCACCATCGGTGCCCAGGCCTCGAGTTGGCTGGATTCTTCTGTGGGACCCGCCTTACATTCTCTGTTTTCCACTGGCAGGGTCTCCCTTCGCTCGAGCCAGCATTAAAAGTGCCAAGCTGGAGAACTCGACTTTTTTTCACAAAAAGGAGAGGAGGATGCGTTTCTACATCCGCCGCATGGTCAAAACTCAGGCCTTCTACTGGACTGTGCTCAGTCTGGTAGCCCTCAACACGCTGTGTGTTGCTATCGTCCACTACAACCAGCCCGAGTGGCTCTCCGACTTCCTCTGTGAGTACCGCCTGGCCCAGCCCCGGCCAGCCCTGTGATCCCTTGCTCACACCCTTTCTCCATCCCTCCTGGAAGTCGTCCTTTCATTCGGCCACTTCCACAACTGGGCCTGGGACTGCTGCTTCCATTGACACCGCGATGAAGCCAGGCTCCTTCGTGCCTGGTAGATGGAAGCTGGAATTCAGACCACAGAACACAGAATCCCTTCTTCGAGGACTATGAAGGGTGGGTTGGGGAGCAGGGCAGTGAGGAGAGACAGAGATTATGAACAGCCAGATTGAGAGAGAAACAAAGGTGTATTTCCTAGACGCATCTCAGGAAATGTTAAAATAGTTCACGGTTGAGAGAGAGACGGGGTGGAGGGAGTTTTAAGGGCAGGGAGGGTCCTGTATTGTATCTCCGTTTTCTTTGCCCACGTCTGATCTCTCCCTTCTTTCAAAGCTTCGACTTCTTTCCCATTTCCCACCAGCACTTTTCACTTCCTTGAATCTAGAAGAAGCCCTTCATCAATCAAGTGCAAGAGCATCTTGCCCCTTCCTTGGATCCCAGCACCTCTACACCGCCCCCCCACCAACACTTCACACACACACCCCTGGGCCTACCCCCAGATTCCAGAAATGAGCCTAGAGAGAGTATAAAAGGGAGGGCCAAATGGGGGTGAGAAGAAATCCTGAAAGGTGGAGAGACCTTGGACCAAGGTTTTATAAAGTAAAGAGTTCTGAGCCGTCAACAAGAGTAGTGGTGGGAGGGGAGGCAAGTGAATGGCTTATTTGTGGATATTGAGTGCTGACTTCCCAGGACCCTGGCCTGCTGGCCACCCTCCTGCCTCTACTGATGTGTCTGGCCACCCTCCTGCCTCTACTGATGTGTCTGGCCACCCTGCCTCTACTGATGTGTCTGACCTGTGAATTCCATGCCCTTCTGACCTGGCTCAGAGTTGAGCCAGGGAAGCTACCAAAGATGGTTGAGTCTCTAGTGTGGAGAAGCCTACGAGTGTGGTGCAGGCCTGTGTCTCCTTGTAACCCCAGTCATGCTGGCTAACCCCCAGGACACCCCCGAGGGGCCAGTTCTCCTTCTGAGAGCCCTGCCCTAGTTCCAGCCTTGGTAATTGCCTTTGGTCCCTCTGGAGTCTCTCCTAAATGAGGGTTCTTCTTCTTGCCTTAGCCTCTTCTGATACTCTATTTTTAATCTCCCATCTTCTCTCCACACTAATCACCTTGCAGTGACTGCCCTAGTTCAGGAACAGGGCTGGGACTTCCTGCCTGGGTCTCTGATCTGTAAAAGTCCTTTAATGATCCCTACTTTCCATTTGTTTAAAAAAAACCAGAAAGGTTAAATAACTGGCCCCAGGTCACACAGCTAGTAACTGATGAAGCCAGGCTTTAAACCCAGGAAGTCAAGCTCCAGGATCCGAGTTCTGTCTGCCTGGGAACCAGGTGGCCAGGGTTCCCATGCCTGTCATTCACTGGGTGACCTTGGACAAGTCATTCCCAGTGTTCTTCAATCAGACATCTTCGTCCTTTTACGTGCCATGGAGAAAGGTGTCCACTGAACTAGGACATGCCACCAATTGTATGATGCACCTCAATTTTCGATGTTCAAATATGAACAGAATGTGCGTCTGGGGTCTGATGAAGTGCCGTGGTCTCTCTGGGTCTCAGATTCCGCCTCTGTCTGGTGGAATCCGGGCATGCTAGGCCCGACCATTCCTCCAGATCCACCAGTGTTGTAGACGAGCGATTCCCTCAGTCTCGTGTGTCACCGGCTTACCCCATCTCCATGAGAGCCTGGAGTCTGGCACCTCGGAAGCTCGTCAGTCCTCCCTGAGTTGCTCCTAGTGGGTCTTGGACTGCACCAGATGTTAAGACCGATTTCCTGCATCAATATCTTAGCCCTTGCCAAATGTTTTGGCCTGCTGAGGTCAGCGAGGTCCTGGACACCATAGGGTGCTCCTCATATACCAGGAGCTCCCTGGACTCCTGCAAATTAGAGGATGTTCCAATCAGGAGTGAGTGTGAAGGACCTTGACCGTCCGTTCAAACCACCTCTTACAAGCATGATGGAACCGACAGCCTGGGCCATCCAGCAGAATGAGATCTATGACCAAATTGTGATGTTGCTGTCATGTTTTAAGTCCTCTGTCAGTCTTTCCTGTACACTTCCGCCCCTTCAGAGACTCTCTTTATCTCTCCTTCCCACACCACTCCACCTGATTGCTGGTATTCCCACTGTAACCCAAGTTATTCTACTTAACATAGTTGGGAGAAGCGCCCCCTTATAAAATGCAATTAGCCTAAGGCACGGTACTTAATGTACTCCCTATGGAATTCTTAGAGCTTGTTACGTTGCTCAAAGACAAAGAGGCTGACTATCACCTAGAGGGGCTACGTAAATCTGAGAATCTTCTCTCATTTACCTGTTACGAGATTAATATCGAGGCCGTGGCTGTCTAGTTGGCCAACAAAAGACATCCTGAGACGGGGCTAAGATGAAAAGAATCTACTGTTCTGTTTGCCTGTTCATCGTCAGCCGCTGTTTCCCATGGCACGACTCCCCAAAGTGTAAATTCCAAAGCAAAAAGTACATAGTCTTTTAAATGTTGGTCTCAAATTGGACCTCATTAAGATCGCCTGGTACTATCCGTCTCCTCGACAGTGGCACCTTCTAATCAAGTTGTATGTCTTCCTCTAAGTGGGAGTGAGGAAATTGGCTTCCCCACTTCCTCTAACTGGCAGTGAGGAAATTGGCTTCACCGCTATAGGGTAAAAGCCTACATTTCAGATGGCCCTACCCTAGCAAGAGTGCCCTCTCAGACAAAGACTGAATGTTACCCATTTGTGCCCTGGAGCAAGTGGATACTCCTGTGTTACTTCCCCCTGAAGAACGGATGCCTTAGTACTTTCTCCCTACGGAACACAAGGTTCGTCTTGCTCGACTCTCCGACAGGATTTCTAGGAGATTTCACATACGTTTTCTGAGTCAGGAAACTCAGTGCTCCCGCCCACTCTAGAACACTCAGATAACATCTATCACAGGCCATCATTATGATTTCTGTTTCTCCGCCCCCCCCCCCTTTGGTGTATAAGCATATAAAAGCGGATACAACATAATTCTTGGGTCATGATACACGGGCATCATGGGGCCATGCCTGGCCCACTGTTAGGTTGTTTATTAGCTAGCTAGTTAATTAGTTAACTAGTTAGTTTTAATAAGGTAGTAAGCACCCAAGAACCTGAAAGTTAATACAAAAGCAAGGTCCTTGAACATAATCTACATCCAAAGCTCATCAAACCGGGGCGCGGGGTGGGGGTCGAACTACAAGGTGGAATCCTACTGACCTTCAGTGGGTTGGAAAGGAAGAGACTGTTGCTCTTCTCCATCAACAGAGTGTCTTGATCCGCGGGAAGAAAGCCTTCGCGTAATCTGTGACCAAAGCCACCAAAGAGCTGGTGGTGAGGGACAGACTCATCATTGACAGGGAAATCAGAGGCTCCAGAGAATCCCGCACACCTGACTTCTTCTCTGGTTCCTCTTTCCCATCTAGACTATGCAGAATTCGTTTTCTTAGGACTCTTTATGTCCGAAATGTTTATAAAAATGTACGGGCTCGGGACGCGGCCTTACTTCCACTCTTCCTTCAACTGCTTTGACTGTGGGGTAAGTCTCCGGTGTCCAAAGAGCTTATCTCTTCAACTCTTGCCCAGAATGGCCCCTAGCTAGAGACCTCAAAAGTGGGGGGGAAAGAGGGTCACCCCAGTCCCGGGAGACTCAGCTGAAGGATATTTCCAAACATTAGTGAAGATGTGGAGCTCCCAAAATGTTCAACCACTGCTGGGAAGAGGGAGCTGACTGGTAGAACCTCTTTGGAAAGCAGTGTGGGGGGGTGGCCTGGCTTTTCCACTGCTAAGGAGTTGCCCTGAAGAAACCCTCACCCCAGGTGCCCAAAATGTTCCCAGCAGCCTCATTGGTAATAGTCCCAAAGTGAATCAATCACTCAAGCAGCCCTTTGCAGTAAAGTGGACAGTTAAGTTATGGTACACCCACGTAATGAAAAAACTGTACAGCCATTAAACAATTAAGTTGTGGTACGCCCACGTAATGAAAAAACTGTACAGCCAGCTGTAGTGACACGCAACCAGACGTGTGGATAACCCTCCCCTACATAATAGTGAGCAAGGGGAGGCAGACACTGATCACTGATGCGTTGAGTGCCCACGGCATGACCCCGCCCACATAACGTCCAGATGGGCAACACAAAGCTACAGTGTTGAGGGATGCAAACATGGACACCATAAAAACAGACAAGGCCCTTGAAACAGCATGCTGAGTGAGGGAAGCCAGAGAACACAATCATGTGCACTTCCGTGTACACGGAACATCCACAAAGGTCAGTCCATGGAGAGGGGAACCCTGTCTGTGGTTGGTTGCCAGAGATGGGGGGGAAGTAGGGAGTCGGGAGTGACTGTGGAATGAGTATGGGGCTCTCTTTTGGGGGGGGGGGGTCATAATGCCTGGGCACGAGGAGAGGTGATGGTTGTAAATGTAAATGGCACTTTGTCGCGTGGAGTTTCGTGTTGTATGAATTTCATCTGGCTTCTTGGGGGCCTTCGCGTTGTAATCATGTGTGATCGGGACCTCCTTGGTTGGCATGATCCCTTCATCGATAAGAAGGAGGAAGGAGGGAGTCTGAGCCCCTCAACTGCCTCCATGTGGGGGCGAGAGTCGGGTTAGGATCCAGAGGCTTGGGCCCAGGATGTTGGCCAGCGCCAGGGGCCGGGCACTGTCCCTGGGCACAATCCCAGTCTTCTGTTCCAGGTTATCATTGGGAGCATCTTCGAGGTCATCTGGGCCGTCATCAAACCTGGCACATCCTTTGGAATCAGCGTGTTACGAGCTCTCAGGTTATTGCGTATTTTCAAAGTCACAAAGTAAGTTCTGGGCGTTCCTAGTCACTGGTCAGAGCTGGGTTGAGCAGGGGAAGGCCGATGGGCCCATGGGTGAACCTGAGCACCCACCTCCCCTGTGGACAGGTACTGGGCGTCTCTCAGGAACTTGGTCGTCTCCCTTCTCAACTCCATGAAATCCATCATCAGCCTGTTGTTCCTCCTCTTTCTCTTTATCGTCGTCTTCGCCCTTTTGGGAATGCAACTCTTCGGTGGCCAGTAAGTGCTCAGCAGAGTGGGTCTCTGACCACTGAGGTCCACCTCAGAGGCCCCCCGCACCCTCTCCTTCACTCGTTGCCTGCGGAGTCCCACCCCCACCACATCCTTCTTCCTCATGGCCCCCACTGCCCAGAAAGATGGGTCCCAGAGACACCCCCCCAGATGTCCTCCTGGGTGCCAAGCTAGACCCTGGTGCGCTGCCCGTGTCCTCTCCGCAGGTTTAACTTCGATGAAGGAACGCCTCCCACCAACTTCGACACCTTTCCAGCAGCAATAATGACGGTGTTTCAGGTACGCCTCGTAGCACCAAGGATTAGCCTACTGGAGGGGGCTCCCTGAACCCCCACTTCTCCGGGGCTAGCCTCTGGGTATGGGACTGGCCTGGCTGGTCAGTGCCCTGTTCCTCACTGAGGACAACAGTGTGAGGATTGGGGCACCCCCTTGTCCTGGTTGATGGTGTGTGATGGGCAGGGAGAAGAGGCTGTCCCTGGACTGACCATCTGGAGCCCACACACAACGGGCTGAGGTCACTCTACACACGGGCATGTGCGGGCCAAGCGGTCACTACTACCATAGTCCTCCAGCAGGGGCCTCTCACCCGGACCATTGTGCCCCACCCAGGGGTCACCGACAGTGTCTGGAGACATGACTGGTTGCCACAGCTGGGGAGGGGGTTCTACCACTGAGAGGAGGCCAGGGCTTCGGCTCAGTGTCCTACTGGACAAACCCCACCACCAAGCATGAGCCCCCAACGTCAGCCGTGCCGGGCTTGGCAAGCCCTGCTCTCGCGGGGCTTGCAGTGGGGAGCTCTTCCACATTCACTTCACCCCCTGGGGCAAATACTGTCAGGAGGAGGAATTGGACTTTTGTGGGAGGACCATGTGGCTGTGCCAGGTACATCCCCTCTGCCCAACTTCCACTAAGAGCACCACCTGGGCCCTTTCCCCAAGGCGCTCTCTGGTCCCTGGCACCCACTCCACCCCGACCCCCACCAGTGACCCTATTTCCCCCACCCCACCGCTTAAGAGCAGTCTGTGGTGTACAGTACCCAGCTCTCTCAGCCTGGGGCAGTGGGACTCGGACGTTCCGTGCTCTCTGCTGCCTCCCACAGGTCCCAGGGAGATTGCGCCCAGTGGCCCTTGATGGGAACTGCACCTCCTTGAGCTGCTGCTGCCCGGGCTCATAGCGCTTGTCAGCCACTCAGGCCTGCACGCCTACTTCAGGGGCTTCCTTAAGAGGACCCCAAAGTGCCCCCGTGCTATGGTAGCGATAGTAGCACATCGCAGGGAGAACGTCAACAATACACACCGAAGTCTCCTGGTCTACATCACGTCGGGGAATGCCGAGTTACAGAGATGCGCTTTCCCCTTGGCCACAGAGTCAGACCCTGAGAAGAAGCCCAGGGGAGCTGATGCCTGACTCCCCCCTACAGCCGGGCAGTGGGGAGCCACGACCCCAGGGGCTGGTGCCAGCTCTGCAGCCGGGGACTCTGCGGGGTGGCAGCTGAGGGGGGCATTGGCTGTGTGTCTTTCTCTCGCCCTTCAGATCCTGACGGGCGAGGACTGGAACGAGGTCATGTACGATGGCATCAAGTCGCACGGGGGCGTGCAGGGCGGCATGGTGTATTCCATCTACTTCATCGTGCTCACGCTCTTCGGGAACTGTATCCTCTGCTGGGGGCGGGGAGAGGGGGCAGGGAGTGGCGAGGGGAGCGGTACCGGCGGATAGCCCCAGGCCCCAAGCGCCAGCATTGGCAGTTCTTCTCCTGACTCTGACGTCTGCAGACACCCTCCTGAACGTGTTCCTGGCCATCGCAGTGGACAACCTGGCCAACGCCCAGGAGCTCACCAAGGTGGCCGCAGTGGGAGGCGGCCTCTCCGGCAACTGTTACCACCTGCTCGGGGCAGATCCGGAAGGCGTGGCGGGAGGGAGGATGGGGCTTCTGCTCCACCAGCAGCGGGAGGGCAAGAGGGAGGGGACCTCGGAGTCCCTGCAGGAAACAGATGGCCTGCTCCACTGGTGTTGACCGAGGGGTCTGTTCCCAGAGCTGGGGCAGGGGGCCACAATCAAGGGTGATGTCACTCCCCACCCCTGCTAGCAACAGAGATGCTGCCACCACCCTAGCCCTGAAAGGTCGGGGGAGTGGTGGTGGATGAGGCCCAGCCCGAACTGGAGCCCAGGAAGAGATGGCCCACAGGCACCACGCAGGGTACAGATCAGAGCAGCCAAGCAGTGCTCAGTCTCTCTAATGCCGGCCGCCAACCCAGGTCAGCCTCCTGGGACACTGCGGGGCTGGGGCCAGGTGACAGAAGACCCACCCAAGGGCTGGGCCTGCTGTGTGCCCTGCGTGCTGGGGGGCTGGCCCGATGGAGGGCCCTGAGGACTTCACCCCTGAGTTGTGGCAGCAAAGATGTCGTGATGATTCTGGTGCCGCAGAGCACTGTGGCAAACATGAGGTGCAGGCCACCCAGAAAGTACCGCTGTCACCCTTTTGCAGCCAGGGAGAGCTGGGGCGCCGAGAAGAAGGGTCACCCCCGATAGAGCATGTAGTGAATGGGCTCAGCACAGTGCTTGGTGCACAGTAAGTGCTCAATCAAGGCAGAATCTGTCAGCCACTTGTCAGGAGCTGGGGTCTGGATGCGAAGTGCTCAAGGGGGAGCCTGGATTTGAACCCCAGCTCCCAAGCCCAAGTCCTCTCCCAGGCATCTTTCATCTGAGCAACAGCAACAAATGCAGCGGCACTTTCTGGCAGCGTGGTTACACATTGGGCTGCTGACCCAACTGGAAGCACCCCCCCACCTATGCCCCCCACCCCCTGGCGGCTCCGTGAAAGAAAGATAAGGCTGTCTACTCTGGTAAAGGGTGACAGTTCTCGGACACCCCCGGGGGCAGTTCTACCCTGTCCTGCAGGGGTGCTGGGAGTCAGCTGGCAGGAAGTTTAGGGTTCTTTTCCTCATAGACCTGTGTGATGGCAGATTACAGATTTCCCCATCGTGCGATGGGGAAACCGAGGCCCAGAGAGCTTAACTGACCTACCCAACAGCCACGTGCAGGCCCAGAGATCTGAGGCCAGGTGGTCTCAGGGAGCTGGCTGCTCTGAGAAGTGCCAGGAGAGGAAAGGGTGTGGGAGCAGGTGCCTGGCCAGGTGCCACCCCTGTCAGAGTGGGAATGTGAAGGGCAGAGACAGGAACCTCACAGGGCAGAGCAGAGGGAACGGGGTCCCACAGACAGAGCAGCCAGCTGGTGTTCATGGTCAGCGAGATGGACCCAGGTGTCAGGTGCCCCTTTACGGCATCCTGGAGCTCCAGGGAGCCAGGACCACTTCAGGTAAGCCACTTTGGCTTTCCAGCCCAGTGCCATGGGCTTTGCACTGTACAAACGCACCAGAGCAAGGAAACCAGCAGGGCCCCAGCCCCTGTGCCCAGGGCGCCAGAAATGTACCCCTGTAGGTGCAACTGGCACGGCCCAGCCTTCGACTCTTTCTGAATCCGGCCCCCACCCTCCCCCCAGGGCATGGAAGCAAGCAGGCAGGGGCTCTCTCTCCCACTTCCTCCCTCCCTCCCTCAACTCTGCGGCCAGAACCCATGGCTTCAAGATGTTCAGGACACATTCATGGAGCTGCGCGTGGCCCGGCAGACGGCTGCCAGCCCACCATCTGTTGGCTCTGGCAGGGACCGAGTTTCCCGGCCCAGCTCCGAGTGGGGAGGATCGGAAGTGTCCACCACCACAAGCCCACAGCCTCGGGAGAGGAGGCGCCAGGGCTGACCCACATTCCCAGAGCCTGTCCTGGAGGGGGGCCTGTGGAGGGAGGAAAGTCAATCCACCTCCCTCCTGTGAGGTGTGGACCATCTCCCCCCACCCCCCATCTGTCCACGGGCCTTGCACAAACACTTGTGGCCATGGCCAGGGGGTGGGGGTCAGGGAGGCAGGCACCCTGCCGGGCCCCTGACAGGTTTTAATCGTATTCACCCCAGGAGACAAGTTCCCTGAGCCCCATTTTACAGGCTCATGTGTTCATTGGACAGACATTTATTGAGCCCCTACTGTGTGTCAGACACACCTCTCGGCACTAGGGACCCAGCCCTGAATGAAACAAACCAGCGTGGCTGTCCTGGTGGGGCTGAGAGTCAGTAGGAGAGGCAAATGAGAAAGAGGATCCATTACGAACCTACAAGCAGCCTGTCCGGCGGCATGTGAGGACTGAAATCAAAATCGTACTCACTGCCATCCAGTCGGTTCTGACCCACAGTGACCTTGTAGGACAGGAAAGAACTGCCCCTATGGGTTTCTGAGACTGTAACTCTTGATGGGCGCAGAAAGCCTCCTCTTTCTCCAAATGATCGGCTGGTGGTTTCTAACTGCTGACATGACGGTTAGCAGCCCAATGCATAAGCACTATACCACCAGGGCACCTATAAGGGCTGAAGGGAAAGGGAATTAAAATTTTAGATGAGCACGTTGAGGTTCAGAAAGATTAAGTGACTTGCCCAAGGGCATACAGCTAATTGGTGGCAGTGCTGGGGGTTGAACCCAGGCTGTGTGGGTGGGTCTGGAGCTGATGCTTCAAGTGTGGTGCACACTTACCTGGGAACTCGTCAGAAATGTAGGTTCCGGGGCCCAGCCCTCTGTAGGCCCTTCCGAAGGGAGGTCCAGAGATCTGAGACCAGGTGGTCCAGGGACCGTGCTCTTGAGAAGTGCCAGGCAGGGGACAGGGGTGTGGGAGCAGGCTGCTGGCCAGGGGCCATCTCCCAGTGGTCACTGACAGTGCCCGGATCTGCCCATTTCTGAGGTGGTAAGGTCACTTCCTGCCCCCAGCGTCAGGGGGAGGTGCCCTGCGACTGCAGGGTTTTCTTCAGGAGCCAGCTCCTTTGGCCCCGCTCCTTCTTGTTGTTCTTTGTTCTCCTTGGCTGGCTTTTTTCTGGTTTGCGAATGAAGCCCTGCGTGAAGGATGAAGATGGATTAAAAATCACACACACACACACACACAAACACACACAAAAAAACACGTCTTTTTCT